CAGATACCAAGTGGTTAGGTCATACCGCTTAAATCGTGCACAGCATTCCGTAAGTCGCACAATCAAGGTATCTGTTTCTCTGTGGATTCTCTCTCTTGGTCTTCCCCTTCTCTATCTCGTTGTTGGTTTCTTCAGACTGGCTTTCATCTTTGCTAACGCTGCAGTTATTGTCACTTCGATCGTTCTTGTTTTCGTTTACTTCCGTGTGTGTCACTTCCTCAAACGGCACAGGAAGACTTCCGCACAAGTTCAGAGCAACGAGGTCGAACGAGAAAAACAACAGCAACGCGAGCAGAAGGCAACAAACTCTCTTCTTATGATAGCAGTTGCATTTATTTTGTGTTCTTTCCCATCTTGTGTAATGGTCTATATCATTAACTTATGTCACACATGCAACTGCGTTCTAATCCACTGGCTCCGAGACTTGCAGTTCTTGTTCATTCTGATCAACTCTGCTTCCAATCAGTTTCTTTACGCTTTTCGCATGCGCCCGTTTAAGAGGGCTTTTATGACCATACCAGCAATAGCATGGGTGGTGAACAAATTCGGAAAAGAAGAGCTAAGCTTAAACTATCCGACACCACAGCAATCTCAATCAGACAATACACCATCTCTGGAACTGAAATAACATGCTCCCCAGCTATGGAAAGAGAGAGCAAGCACGGGGTCAAAGTCCGTCAGGAAAACTTCAATACTCAAGTATAGATGTTTCGTGAGCTCGATCAACAACATGAAACCCTGATTAGAGGATAATTCGTAAAAAGAACGCACTTCTGTTGCTTTGGTCCCATAGTTAAATGTTTTGTGTTGACAGCTGATCAAAGAGAAAGCTGTCAGCAGCAGCCTGCAGTTTATAGAAACGACTTTTAACCGCTCCTCAAGTATCACCATGTTGAACAAATTTTAAAAAGCTTTGTAACAGTATAGAAAGAAGGAAAGGTCACGTTTGTCCATCATGTACAAAAATATCTTGGGTTTAAGTGATATCAAAATCTGTAAGATTTTGTAAACCTCAGCGATATTACTAGTACATGGATTAGCCATAAGTTTATGCAAGTTCAAGGCTATTGAAAGAAAGTAGTGTTTCAGTTCTCTTTTCCCATAACAAGGCTTGAGAATGTAATCAGTTCCTACCTGTAATGCCTCAGATTAATGTTCTTGGCGAATTTAAGAACTATCTTAGTTCATAATTTCAGCAACAACGTGTAAATAAGTATGGATAGTTGGACATGTATGTAACATTTCTTTCACATTTTGTAAACGGTGTGTTGGCTGGCTACCTAACTCTTACCAGTGACGATAATGATAATGATGAGAGACCAAATAACGAACGATATCTTTAGTTTGATGGAAACGCAAAATGCTTGTAAAACCTCCACTTTTATAAACATGAAATCACTGAGTCATAGGCTTACAATAAACAATAGAATCGTAGTGGTTGGGTCGCTCTAAGTACCATCAAAGAGCAGAACAGAAATAGTGACGAAAAAGCAGTTGTACCCTGTTAGCGACGACTGGTCTCCCCTCCAATCCCTCGTGAAAACCGTGTTATCCCTCCTAAAATTCTCCGACTCCACCTCTAACCCCAATAGATAAATAATGACTTATCCTTTAATGTCAATTTCTCATCGCTGAAGGT